TGATACTAGCCCTCAATTTTGCTTGAAGATTTAATGAGAAAATGAGTATAAAAAATTTACACAATGCTTGGAACATAATAAATACCAACGAAGGAGCATTATTGTGGTTAAGGGCTCTGGGATGGAATCTGGGATGGCTGGGGGCAGGATTATTGGGAGCAGCGCAAGAACTCCCAGGGAAGAAAAGCCATCCAAACCCTTTATTCCTCTTCCTCGGCTGGCCCTTCCTAAGACCCTCCGCTGGAAGCTGTACGCAGAAAAATTAATGAGCAGAGAAGAAAGTATTCAGGGATGTATTTCCTCCAAGCCCCTCAACTACTTTTCCCCTGGTGATGTTTTCCTTCCTCCCTATTTTATCATGCATTTCTTTACCTACTACCCAGGGTGCAATACAGAGAGAGAAACTTGGCTTTCAAAACCACAATCCCATCATGTGGGCAGTGGGGCAACCAGATGCCAATCCGAGTGCTGCATCAGAGCGGGTGAGACTTGGGCATCATGGCCCTGGCATAGCCCAGACTCCATTGTGCCAAGGCTCATGCTGCGTGATCACGCGCTTCCTCTTCTGAAGTCTGCTGCATCCACAGATTTAGGAACCAGCTTGATGGAAGGGAGTGGGCACTGGGGAGTTTTGGAGCACCAATCCGTGCATGCCATCTGTAGCTAGCTTTATTTAGTGCCGGGGAAAGGGACAGATCAGGACGAAATGGTTGGCTTTGTTTGACTTCGATGGGAGGGAGGGGGCAGGAGAAGTGAGACTGCTAAAATTGCCTTGGAGTAGGTGATGATAATCCTCCCCCCCCTTAATGTGTCTCCTTTACTACTTTGAAACAGAATTAAGCTGTAGTTTCTCTGGAGAGGAAAGCTGAGGCAGTCACATCTGATTATCTGACTATCTGATGGTCACAGAAGACAGAGACGCCAGTTTGAACTTGTAGATTCTGAGACAATAGAAAAGGTTGCTATTATTGCTGGGTAATAGGGAGAAAGATAAGAGGGAGGATGCTACTGCTAGAAGCCATCAGTTCAGCCTCTGTCCCCCCAGGTATGAAACGAATCCAGATGGCAGAGAACACTTGGGTAGAGATCTTTTTCTGTAGAAAAGGGCTATACTCTGTAGGGATGCACTTTAAGGTGATCATTTGCTTTTCAGTCTTAGGACCGTTGAACCTCAGCTCTACAAGGGAAAGTGTTAGTTCTCTGCCACACAAGATATAACTACCTCGCCTTTCTTGGCCCAAGAGAAAGAGTTGCAGGGGTATGCCTGAGATCCAATACATAGAACTTGAGCATTACATCCATTCTGAAAACTCATCTCGGACATCTGCTTTTCTAAATGGTTTTCTCACCACTGAGAGTACTGATGCTCTTCCCTCTTCTTCAGGCCCAGCTGCATGCTTCTATCATTGTATGCGGTACTCCAATTGTCCCTGTTTGTGTACATGCCTTCCCTACCAACTGAAGTCTTCGAGGGCAAAGTCTATCTTAGTTATCATTGTATCTTCTGTGTCTAGTTCTGTGCCTGAAGAAGGGCAAGTGGTCCTCACTCCAAACCTTCCCCTTGTGGGGTGGTTCCAGGCAGAGGCAGCTTCCACCAAAGCTTGAAGCAGCTCATGCTAATGGCATCTTAGTATTTCGGGAATATTCTCTGTCTTAACAGATGTGGAGTCAGAATTTGAATTATTTTTGGTAAGTAATCCAGTAATGGCTCCTCTGGGTGACTATTCTGAAGCTGGAGGGTTTCCACGGTCTTTGTTCTCATTCAGGATCCAGACCTGAATGAGAACAATTCAAAGTTTAATTAGTTTCTAACAGGGATGGTCAGTTTATACTTGCAGCCTTCTAAACCTGCTTTGAGAAGGAGGAGGGCATCACATTAAAACTTGTAGCCTGGGCTGCCCACTCTTTGTCGGTTTCTAGAAAGCATGTTGCTTTCCTTTGGAAGTTTGCTTTCCTACCATTTCTCTCCTTTCTAGGAAGATTAGTGAATCTTTAAGCTGTGGTGTGTGCCTCCTCATTCAGCAGGTTTATACTCCAAGTGCAGCCCAACACTGACATTGGTCAGGATGTTCAGTGTCTAGACCAGTATAGGTGCAGCAATTCTCTCTTTTCCAAAACTTGCCCCCCAGAGGCCACCACCTTCTGTGCCTGGCTTTGAGGAGACTAGCGGGTCTATCCGGTAGGAACACATTATGTCAGCTGCAATGACTCCTCGCGGGGCCTTTTGGTAGAACTTGCTGCTCAGTCAGTATGGAATAAGCAGGTGATGTGAGAGTGAGGAGAATTTGTTCATAACTTAGGACCTTCAGTTACTCCCCAGGTGATCTTGGGCAAGCCCCTAGATCTCAATGTCCTGTTTCTACGAAACAGCAAGAGCAAGTGCTATAACCACCTTGCAGCGCTAATGGGGAGCTGAATTAGGTGCCTCTTATAAAACCAGTGACTTCTCAACAGGGAGTTATTTTAGTGCTGTGGTGTCCTGTGCATGTGCTTCGAATGTAGTTGTTCAGCAATACATTCAGGTCCCAGCTCTCCCCTACTTATTAGCTTGGGAAGCCAATGACCTTCCCTACGTTTCATGTTCTTTGGCTATAAAATGGGGGCCGTAATACATAGCTCTAAGAATTGATAGGAGGGTTCATTGTGGCAGCACATGCCCTCAACAACTGTTTACTTTACGTCCCATCCCATTTGCATGTGTCACTTGAATCCCACGGACTCCTGAGATTATACTTCACCCCATTTGATGCAGAATAGCTGCAGTTCAGTTCCGAGGGAGAATTTATCCAAAAGATGCAGGGCATTCAACCGAGTTCTCTCTGCATCCTATTGGAAAGCACATTTTCTTGGACCCACTATTCTTCCATGAGTCTGAATTTATAGATTTTTAGGAATCACAGGGATCTCAAACGCATTTGCCTATAGAGGCCAGGCAATAGTATAAATGTATGAAGCAGCCCATGTATAAGGCGTTAGGGGATAGTGAGGCCTATAGTAGACAAGAGTGTCTGTCTTGCAAAGCCAAATTAGAACAACAACTACTAGTAAAACGCTTTGTAAGACAAGTAGCCTGATTTGGCACAAAGGATGCTAGACTGAGATTCATGTGTACCAGGACATATGCATAAGAATATTCACAGCAGTGCTGTTCAAGAGCAAAAATGTAAACAACTCAATTACCCATTGAGGGAGAAGGGGGTGAATGAACTAGGGTATAGTCATATAATGAAATATTATCTAGCAGACAAAAGGAGTTGAGGGAGAAGGGGGTGAATGAACTAGGGTATAGTTAGTCATATAATGAAATATTATCTAGCAGACAAAAGGAATACATCACAGCTCCATGTAACAATATGGTTGAAACTTAGCAATATATATCTTAAATTCTAAAAAGTAAGCTACGAAGATTTTCTCTGGCATGATGCCCATTTCATAAAGTTTAAAAAACGAAAATGAAAATATGCTTTTTAGAAATGCATACGAAGGGAAGCCCATGGTTTTCTTTAGTGTACTGTGATGGGCTGTGGGTAGGGGAGTGGATGGAATGGGCAAAGACTACAGCACTGACAGGTACAAGTTCTTGTCAAGGTGCTAATGTGTGTGTTGTCTGTAGGTACATGGTTGCTTACTGTATTATTTAGAGATAAAACAAAGCGAGGTAAAAATATTCTTCAGACCTTTCAGAACGTTGTCCGAAACAAATGAGTACTTTAATGGGAAAGTGTTTTGTAAACTCCAGTATACAACATAAATGTAAGAGGTTTTATGATAAAGGGGTCTTGGACATTGATAGCTTATTGCTAAATTCCTGAGGTATTATGTGTTATCCATTTGGTGGACTGTATGTAGTATGTCTTTGGGCAATAGCTTTGCAGTACCAGACTCATTTTTACCCAAATTGCCATTTCTCCCCCTTCACTCTCCCTGGTAATGAGTATGTGCTCAGGGAACAGGCACATATGGATGGTCAGCAAAAACAAAGGTCAAACTATAAAAGTGAATGTCACACACAATTGCACATGCCTCTTCCTGCTTCATTCATACCATACACACCCACCTCCCCTCCACCCACACACACACATATTTATACCACAATGTCATGCACCCCAAACCAGCTAGAAATGACTTCTGGATCGTCTGTTGATTTTGGTTATCAGTCTTATTTCTCTGATAAAGCAGGTGATAATAACTTTCAGAGTAATTAACAATAGATTCTGCTTCCCTGTTTCTTTCTAGGTTGCAATTAAACATCAGTATAAATAGTTGTATGTAAAATTACTAAAGGAAAGGGGCCTTCTTTAGGTGAGACAGAGGCATCTGTTAATTACCCATCTACTATTTACTGTCTATTTGTGCCAGGCACTGTAGTGGGGGTTGAGGCTGTGGGCATGGATATTCCCAGCCTCTGCCCTAGGGGGAGCTCACAGGCCTGTTGGCAGAGGGATCACTTAAAGATGGTGAAACCTCCGGGCTAAGGGGTCTCCACAGTGTCCTGCAAGGAAACTGACAAGGCATCCGAGAGGAAGTGATATCTGGCTTTGGCGGGGTTGAAGTTAGAAAGGTGAAAGAGATGGGCAGGCCGAGTACAGTATGCTCAGCACCTCAGAAAAAGAGGAAAGAGACCGAGTCTGGCCACTGGGGCCAGTGGAAGCTTCTGGTAGCTGGAATGGAGAGTGTGTACCCAGGAAGGGATGAAGTTGGTGAGGGAGGCAGGAGTCAGTTAAGAAATGGCCTTATTACAAGGCCTTTGGATTTTATCCTAAAGTCAATAGGGAGTGGTTTAAGGATTTAACCCGGAGAACGACATAAGCAGATTTAAGTTTTAGGAAATTGTGTTTTAGGGGAAGGTGCCAGAGGCAGTGAGATCAGTTACGGGATTTAAAAAAAAAAAATTCTTTCCAAAATATTGGCTCTCCTTTTGGTCAAGCGAGGGGATTAACAACAAATTCTTTGGGAAGACATCTTTCTTCTCCTTGCTTAAGATACCAAGTAATCAAGGGAGGTACCATGATGGCGAAGGTGGTTGTCCCAGGGCGAGGTTTATCCATTGCACTCCGGATGTGCTGACCCCTACGATTTCCCCAAATGTGGGAAACTCGACTGCATCATTTGTGGTAGCGGGGGACTGCATTTGCAATCTCCCCTGAAAAAAAAAAAGAATAAAATATCAAGGAAGAGCTACCTGAGTAGCTGGTATCCAACAATGTGGTTGAATTTCAAGTCTTTCTACTTCTTTTCCATCGCGGTCTGGTTCTATTTCTGTGGACCTCGGTTTCCCCTTCATTAAATAAGGAAAAGCATTTGCAAAGTGTTGCCTGTGATACCTCCAGTCCCCACCTGGCCCCGCACATAGTTATTACAATATTATTGGCTATATTTCCTATGCTGTACTTTACATCTCCATGACTACTTTGTAACTACCAATTTGTGCTTCTTAATGCCTTCACACGTATATAATTGTCTAACCACTAAATGGTACACCTGAAACCAATATAAAATAATATGCAAACTGTAAGTGGAAAATAAAATTGAAATTAAAAAAGAAAAAGTAAACAAATTCTTATTTTAAACAACCAAAAAAAAAAAAAGGAACGGCATCTGCAATGCTTCTTCTTTGATAGATGTTCTGGAATGAATAAGACTGCAGTTGCCCCTGAAGGTCTCGGAGTTTGTTAGAGAATGGACTCACCCACATGCCACGTATTATTCGTATTTAGGAGGAACACTCAACGTTGTATTAAGGAAGGGAAGAGTCCCGAGTGCTATCTAGCTCCCCAAGCCCAGTCACAAAGCTGATGTTGTCTTCCTGCCTCTCCCATCAGCCTCTGCTCTGACAACCCTGGATCCCCAGAGCTTTGGGAAGTCATGTCTCTCCTTTTTAATGAGTAATGGTTAATTAATGAATCATTGACCTTACTAAGTAAAACAAATTTGGGGAAAGATTATTCTGTTTCACGAGTCCCTGGCACATCGATCCGCGGTCGGGAGCTTGAGTTGGCTCTTGAGGTTACTTTCTGACCTTTGAAAACAGACCCTCACTGTGATCTTTTGTCCAACTGCCTGTTGTTTTTTTTTTTGTGATTGGCCTCATATCCGGTGGCTGTGGCCCCCACAAGTTTTCCTAGGTAGAGGGGACTTTCTGGTCACAGGCAAGCCCACCAGCTGTGATGGCAACCATGGGAACCAGACACCTCAGGGTGCTTCTCCAAATGATGTTGGGTGGCACACACTCCCATCTCTCTGGGATAGTTTAGGCAAAGATTCCATGGAAGCACGGAGACAGGACCACTGCAGATCCTCGTGGGAACCTAAGGATCCTTGTGTGGAATTCTTTGGAGCTCAAATCATGGGGCGTTTGTTACAGAAGATGGTTGTCAGAGAAAACACATCTAATATTTATGGAGCAATGAATATTACTTATTTACTCTGTTCTAAGCTATGTACTTGTGCTACCTCATTCAGTCCTTACAACAACACTATCATGGTCTGCACTTAACACATTAGGAAAGGAAAGTACAAGGAAGATAAATAACTTGTCCAAGGTGACGGCCAGGACCTGGCAGTGCATTCTTCACCACAATATGATTCTGCCTCCTGTACAGATTCATGGACCCCCTGACCTTGAAATGACCTCCAGTGATCATTTGGTTCGCTCTCTGTCTCCAGGCAGTTACGGTTTTATCGTGGGTCTTCCCCTTTCCTTTTTACTGACAAAGCAATGGAGACCCAAGGGGTTAAGTAACTTGTCAAAACACGGAGGTATTAAGTGCTTGGAGAGAAGGGAGCCCCTCTGTCGATGGTCAGAGGAGCACCACTCCTTGCTGGCTCACTCCCTTCAACACAGGCCAAACAAAACACGACTTCCCGTTCTCTCTCCAGCAATCCTGCTTTTCCTCCCATCTAGGATTCTACTTCATTTCCTCTGTGTGTTTTTTTTCAAGGCAGATCACTCAAGCCAGTTTGTATATTTTGTTTTAAAGAAAAAAATATTCAAGGGCCTCCATCTCCCTCTCTTTGTGTCTAATTGGCTTTGACTAGGGCACAAAAGGACAACATTTCCATGATTCCCTCTGACCCAGACCTAGCCTCTGTGAGGCAGCATGCCGGGGTCAGCAGGAGAGGGGACTGGGGGGTGCTGGGGAGGGAGGGGACCTGAGTTACAGGATAATGTTTTGGTTAAATTTTTACCACCCTCTCCCATTTGTGCTGCAAATCAGAGACACGTTCTGACAAGTTCAGAGACATCAGGATTCAGATGTGGTTCTATTCCTTTCTGTTAATTCAAGGTAGCTAAGGGATAGCCTTTCTAGCTAAGGCAAAGCAAGCCTGCCTCTGCCCTCCATCCCCCCGCACCGCAACTTCAACCCATTCCTCCTCTCCGCCCCTGAGGTAGATCTGAAATGGCTGGCAAGGCCATTTCCAATGTTCTGTGCCCAACACTTTGCATCATTGGCTTCCTCCAGGTGCAACTCTCTCGTCAAAGCCAGCCCAGAAGCTGATTATGCCGGGAGGCTGCGGGTCCAGGTGGTGGGTCAGCCAGGCCCTTGGCTCTCGCTCCTCCCTCCTGTGGTCATGGTCATCAGCACAAGAGAAGAACAGGAGAGACTCAGACTGGGTAATTGTGTTTCACCCCTGGGGATATCTGTAATGTATGAAGCTGGACAAAATTCATGAAGGAGAGCTTCAAATACAGAAAAATTGTGATATAAGGGCACAGATATGCCCTTTGGCTCATCCCCACACCTAATTCATTAGTACCTCCAGAATAGCTCTTAAATCTATCCACTTTTCCCCAGCTCACTGCCCCCACCTAATCCAAGTCACCATCAGCTCCCACTTGGATGACTGTGATAATCTTCTATTTGGTCTCCCTGCCACCATTCTAGGACCTTTGTAACTCATTCTCCACACTGTAGCAGAGCGATCTTTTTCTAAAGCAAATCCTTTGCTTAAAAAGCTTCATTTGTTGCCCAGCCAGTGTGGTTCAGTGGTTGAGCCTCGACCTATGAATCATGGTTTGATTCCCAGTTAGGGCACATGCCCAGGTTTCAGGCTCGATCCCCAGTAGGGGTGTGCAGAAGGCAGCCCATCAATGATTCTCTCTCATTATTGATGTTTATATATCTCTTTCTCTCTCCTTTCCTCTCTCTGAAATCAATAAAAAACACACATATATATATTTTTAAAAGCTTCACTTGGTAACCTATGAATCATGCTTTGATTCCCAGTTAGGGCACATGCCCAGGTTTCAGGCTCGATCCCCAGTAGGGGTGTGCAGAAGGCAGCCCATCAGTGATTCTCTCTCATTATTGATGTTTATATATCTCTTTCTCTCTCCTTTCCTCTCTCTGAAATCAATAAAAAACACACATATATATATTTTTAAAAGCTTCACTTGGTCTTAGAGTAAAACCTGCCTCCTTAGCATGATGCACAAAACCCTGTGTGACCCTGCCCTGTCCTAGCTTCTTCTCTCACATCTCGTCCCAGGGGCTTTTCCCATTACCCACCAGCCACGGTGGCCCCCTCTTAAGTCCTCGGACAGGCCACACTTGCTCCTGCTTCAGAGGCCTCTTCCCTCTGCCCAGCACTCTCCTCCTCTGCTCATTACCTAGTTTCTTCTCATCCTTCAGGTCCAATGTCTCCTCAAAATAGAAATCTCCTCTGACCATTGTATCTAAGTGGTCCCATCTCCGGCCTTTCTCCATCAGATCATCCTGTGTGTGCCCTTTATAACATTTATCATCACTTAAAGTTACCAGGTTTAACTCTTGGTTTATCCAGAGTTATCATGCTCTTTAATTATTTTCCGTATTTAGAAATAATCTTGAGACAGGCAGAGTTGATTTTTATTTGGTTCTCTGTTAAATTCCTTAGGCCTGGAGCTTAGTGGGCATTCACTGAATAGATGCTGAATGAATAAAATGAATCACTTGGGATCTGGACAAGTTGAAGCTCTCAAATTGTGGAGCATCCATTCCATTTTGAGTCATCCATCATATCAGCCAAAGGGTGGCGCGTGGTTTATGGAGACCTATTTTGTGTATAAAGTTCTATAGAGTGTGGAGATACAATGACTCTAGCGGCTGCAGGGGCACCTCTGTCACTTCCTCTCAGCACCTCCCCACCTCCCTCACCTGTGGACTTGATTTCCTGCTTGATAACGCTCCTTACAGAAAAAATGAATTTGTTTCTGACTCCAGCAATGAGCACGATTAATGTGTTCTTCTTTCAGTTCAGGACCTCAATTTAAACCCTTTCCTGTTCAACTGGATCGGGAAAGGTTACATGGTGGATCTGGGCTGAAACAAATCCCTAGACACAGAGTCGATTATTCCCTGCTCCTCGAGGTCTCCACGCTGAAGGGAACATTCCCACGCAGTGCTGGGTTTGGGTCCGCAGGGGGCACAGCCTATCTGTGCCATCACCCACAGATGGCAGAGCTTGTGTTGGCTCTGTGGCCATTGCCCAGGGACGTCAAGTGGATTTTTCCATTACAACTTGTCCTTAGGTTGTGGCTTTTTCTTCGTCTGCCCCTTATAGTCTGTTAGCACAAAAGTGTCTGGGTCATTAACTCTGTTAGATTCAGGGAATTTATAGGAATGAGATAGAACATTCTAACAACATGGAATTCCCAAGATTTGGTTCAATCTCCTAATTTTAGGTGTGTTATATTGTAGTTTGAAGTCAGACTGCCTGGGTTTAAATCCTTGATGTGGTGGCTTGGGAAAATCACGTAGCCTCCCTGAACCTTAGTTCCTTCATCTGCGAAATGGAAGTGATAATACTAATTACTTCATAAGGTCATTGTGAGGACTAAATAAAATGCAATGTACAGCTCAAAGCAAGCGCTTAACATATTTAGCTATTATTGTATGGCTATAGAAGAGGAAACAGACTGAAAAGTCACCAAAAGTCATTCTGTTCATTGGAGGCATAACTATTAGAATATAAGCTCCCGTGGAGCAGAAATAGTCTGTCTTTTCGATTTCTTCACCTCAAATTCCACTTCTGAAAAATGGGTATAAAAACACTACCTACCTCAGTAGATTATTCTAATATTTAAAGTACCCAGTCAATGTGAACTATTTAAGATAGTACTTTACACAAATTACTCACTCAAAATGTTATTATTATTGACATTATTAAGTAATATATTTATTTTATTTTATTTTAATTATTTTAAGTTTTCCAGAACTTAACCCAGGGTTTAGAATCTTGCAGAGTCTCAATAAATTTGTAATGAATGAATAAATGAACCAGAAGGAGAAGTCAGGTCTCCTGACTCCCAGTTCTGTAATTTTTCCTCCAGATCACATGGTCTCAGGCCTTCCCAAAATGGTGCTACTCCCATGGCTAAGTTAGCTTAACTCAGGTTTGAAATGTTAGCCACCCTGGGGCTCCCAGGCATGTTCCTTTCTCCTATTCTCTAGCTCAAAATTAAGTCGTTGCCTTTGAGATGTACTGCCGTCAGCTTCTGGTGGAAAACAAAATTGGTGGTCACCTCCCTTCCCAACTGCCCGCTACCCTGTCTTCTAGGAAATCTCATTTGCTCTCATTTTCCTTTGTGCATTTGGTTGGAGGCTCTTAGTTGATTCTGATCCATTACTGTTAAGGCTTTTATTTTCTTTCATCTTTTTTTTTTTTTGCATCCCAATGGCTCATCCTGTACCAGCATGCTCTGGGCTCCAGTCTATTCTGGTTATCCCTGACCCAGCTCTAGCCTTTTGACACTCACCTGGACCCTCATTATCTCCTCTCTGTATCCTTATTTCTCTAATCATGTACCCATTAACTTCATCATTTCATCCCTAACATCATTCCCCTCACCCAACCCCTTCCCCCCAAACCTGAAGTCACAATATGACAAGTGCACAGCAAAAGGCAATCTTCATCAGACTCTGGAAGTTTCAGAGATTTGCACTTAAAATATGTAAATTACTTAAAATTCCCTAATTTCAAAGTCACTTTGGGTAGGGGGAGAATTTTGCTATTTGGTGCTTCCAGTCTTTCTTATCTTCTACGCTTGCTATTCTGAGCGTGATCTGAGGACCAGCAATTATGACATCGTCTGGGAGCTCGTCAGGACTGTAGACTCTCAGGCCTACTCCAGGCCTACTGAGTCAGAATCTGCATTCCAACATGACCTCATATGTGTATTAACGTCTCCTGAGTGCGGCTCCATCCTGTTTCTCAAACTACCACGTGAATGAGATTCCAGGGGTGCCTGTTAAAATGCCCATGACTTTGCTCTCCACCCAGAGAGTTGACTCAATAGGCCTGAGATGGCACCCAGAAACTGGCCTTCCCTCATACACTCTTATGGTGGCTCTGATCCGGCTGAGGAATGCACTTTGAGAAACACTGCTCCTGTCTGACAGCATCCTGAGTCTCCTGCCCAGGGTTTAGAATGTGGCCAGCAAAAAGCAGGCATTCAATAAATCATTATTGCATTGAGCGGAACTTCT